ATGCTGGGCTTCAACTCCCAAAAATCCCAACCAGTTTATGGGAGTTGAAGTCCAAAACTGTCAGAAATATTTAAAATGAACAAAGTCTTTTTAATTACAAAAATGTGAGTCAAGCACTGGAAAGTTTCAATGGATGCAATGACTCAGCCAAAGCGATAGTTCAATATAAGTAGGTGTGCCTGTAGCTTAGTAGGCCTCAGTGTTAGTTGCCCTCAGATGAGGAGGCTTCAGTCTGAGAGAGGCCTCAGTGTGAGGTAAACCTCAGAGTTAGTAGGCCTCAGTGTGTGAGAGGCCTGGTATGAGAAGGCTTCAGTGAGAGAAGCCCCGGGTTGAAGGTCTCGTGTGTAAAGCTCCAGTGTGAAGTCTGCTGTGTGTAAAAAGCTCCTGTGTAAGTTTAGTGTGAGAAGAGGCTCTGTGAAAATGAAAAGGCTCTGCATGAGAAAGAAGCCCAGCGTGGAAGAAAGAAGGAAGTATAAAGAACTTCATTTGTGTTATGGAAACCTTGTTGTTGTGAATAGTGCGCCAAATTATTTTGCTATAAGAAAAAGCCTCCAAAGGAAGAGATCACATTGGTCTGTGTGCGTTTTTGTTCTTTTTGCACTTTGGGCTCCTGGTGCTGGGTCACGCTGCTGCTCATAAGTTACTCTGCTGTGCATTTATGAGGAGGGTCTTTGAGGGTTAATAAGCCCACTCGCCCAACAAAAACACCTAGAAAGAGGGCCAAAGTTGGCCCAGGCCTGATCAAAAGCCTCCCACACTGGCCCAATGTCAAGGCCCGGAAAATTAATAATAATAATAATAATAATAATAATAATAATAATAATAATAAACAACTTTATTCATATTCTACCCCATCTCCCCGGAGGGACTCAGGGTGGCTTACAAGACAACAACAGTGCAAAGCAAAACTCATATAATATACAACAGAAATTAGCATAAATCAATAAAAATAAACAGCATAATGGCAATTAACATACAACATCTCAAAATCTTCAGCACATCCAGGATGCAGCCCAATCTGGCCCAAGTTCCAGCTGCTTCTTGGCAGAATGGGGTTGGGCTGGATGGTCCAGGAGGTCTCTTCCAACTCTTTGATTCTAGGATTCTATGTCCTGCATCCTCCCTTTGGAAGTGGGGGGAAGACCCTAAAGAGGAGCTGGGGAGCTGGGGGGGGGGGCACAGACTGCAGTGTTTGGGGTTAGAGCAAGGGGGAGGGGTTATGTGCATCCCCTTGTGCAATGAAGGCCGCCCACTGACTCCGAATGCATCCGGCGCAGGACACAGAGAGGCCCAGAGGCCACTCCAAAGGCGGGATTCACTGCCACAAGATGCCATGCTGGCTGCACAACTTGGAGGGGCTTCAAAGGGAGCTGTGGTCCATTCATAGAATCAAATCATAGAATCCTAGAATCCTAGAGTTGGAAGAGACCTCCTGGGCCATCATCCAGTCCAACCCCTTTCTGCCAAGAAGCAGGAATATTGCATTCAAAGCACCCCTGACAGATGGCCATCCAGCCTCTGTTTAAAAGCTTCCAAAGAAGGAGCCTCCACCACACTCCGGGGCAGAGAGTTCCACTGCTGAACGGCTCTCACAGTCAGGAAGTTCTTCCTCATGTTCAGATGGAATCTCCTCTCTTGTAGTTTGAAGCCATTGTTCCATTGCGTCCTAGTCTCCAGGGAAGCAGAAAGGAAGCTTGCTCCCTCCTCTCCCTGTGGCTTCCTCTCACATATTTATACATGGCTCTCATCATATCTCCTCTCAGCCTTCTCTTCTTCAGGCTAAACATGCCCAGCTCCTTAAGCCGCTCCTCATAGGGCTTGTTCTCCAGACCCTTGATCATTTTAGTCGCCCTCTTAGGAGTTGGAAGATAGACCTCCCGTCCCCCCGTCCCCCCAATTGAGACTGCTTGAAACTGTGTCTCCCTTGCTCTTCCTCTCTATTCAAATGAACGGCAGCAAAGATGAAGCTTTCCTTTGCCTGCTTTCTCCATTTGGACATGTCAGCGCTAGCAGAAGTATTGTAAAAACTCAGAATAATGGACTCTGGAGTCATCAGTAAAAAAGCAGGTTTCAGCTTTACTTGAGCAGCTCAGAAACACAACATACGTCATCAATGAGCAGACGCGAAGTACACAGAACAAAGGAAATAGGAAACGAAAACAAAACTGTATCTGGCTAGGAGTTACCTCACAGGCACTCCCTAATATTCCACACAGCTAGAAACTCAGGGTCACATTCTCACAGCCCTCTGCGTAAACATACATCCTGGCAATACAACTCTATTGTAATCACATTTCTACTATATGAAATTACATTTAAACATACCTCATACATGAAAAGTACACTGACAGGACACAGGTCCGCCCTAAATCTATATGTTAACCCTGAGTTACGAACAAGAGCCATCCTGTAGGTCTGTTCTCCAGTTGGATTTGTATGTAAGTCGGGACAGGGACATTTTTAAAGTGTAACTCCAGCCAAATGTGCTCGCTTGTGTGCGCTCTCTTTCTCTCTCTCTCTATATATATATGTATATACACATACACACACACATATATAATCTTTGGATGGCGTAGGGAAGGGCTGGCAGGGGCCTGCCTAGGGACAAGCACTATCTTGATCTTCTACGCAATCTCCGGTCCTGGCGAGAGGTCCAGGCAGATTCTGTAGCTCCCAACAGAATAATTATTTTCTCTAAGTCCAGATATATACTAGCTGTTCTTTGACAGGCGCTGCATGTGGGTAAACAGTATTCTTGTTTCTTTGCCAGTGTTGATGTGGAGAGTGTCTGCTTTGTCTGCTTTGTCTACTCTGGAAGATGCAACACATCATTGTCCTTCTTTAGGGGCCCCTTTCAAATCTAGGGTACTCTATCTGTCATAGACATGTGTGTGGGTGTGTGAATCATATCTATCTATCTATGGCTGGATGGCCCTTTGTCAGGAGGGCTTTGATTATGTTTTCTTACCCTGGTGAAGAAGGGAGTTGGAATGGATGGCCTTCAGGCAGCATTTCTCAACCTGGGGGTTGCAAGGGGGTGTCAGAAGGGTCGCCAAAGATCACCAGAAAACACAGTATTTTCTGTTGGTCATGGGAGTTCTGTGTGCCAAGTTTGGTTCAATTCCATTGTTGGTGGAGTTCAGAATGCTCTTTGATTGTAGGTGAACTATAGATCCCAGGTCTATTTTCAAGGTCTATTTTCCCCAAACTCCGCCAGTGTTCACATTCGGGCATATTGAGAATTCATGCCAAGTTTTATTTAATTATTTATTTATTTGTAATTCAAACGTATATGCCACCACTCCCCTGGGGCTCGGAGTGGCTTACAAGAACAGGCTGAGATCTAACACCATTTAAAAACCATTTAAAAACCATTTAAAACAACAATGTCAGAGATCAAAGGCCTGTTGAAACAGAGATGCCCTGCAGAAAGCTGGTAAGTCCCGCAAGGCACAGACTTCAGGTGGCAGAGTATTCCAGAGTGATGGTGCCACTGCTGTGAAGGCTCTGCGCCTGGTTGCTGTTAGACGCAAGGTCTTGACACTGGGAATTTCCAATAGATCTTGGTCCTCAGAACGATCTCTGGGGTTGGGAGGGGGAGAGGCGGTCCCTCAGGTACATCGGCCCCAGACCATGCCAGGCCTTAAACTTTGGTCCAGATCTATTGTTGTTTGAGTCCACAGTGCTCTTTGGATGTAGGTGAACTACCACTCCCAAACTTTAGGCCAATGCCCACCAAACCCTTGTAGTATTTTCTGTTGGTCATGGGAGTTCTGTGTGCCAAGTTTGGTTCAATTCCATTGTTGGTGGAGTTCAGAATGCTCTTTGATTGTAGGTGAACTATAAATCCCAGCAACTACAACTCCCAAATATCAAGGTCTATTTTCCCCAAACTCCACCAGTGTTCACATTTGGGCATATTGTGCCAAATTTGGTCCAAATCCATCATTGTTTGAGCCTCTCTGGATGTAGGTGAACTACAACTCCCATACTCAAGGTCAACGCCCACCAAACTATAAATCCCAGCAACTACAACTCCCAAATATCAAGGTCTATTTTCCCCAAACTCCACCAGTGTTCACATTTAGGAATATTATGCCAAATTTGGTCCAAATCCATCATTGTTTGAGCCTCTCTGGATGTAGGTGAACTACAACTCCCATACTCAAGGTCAACGCCCACCAAACTATAAATCCCAGCAACTACAACTCCCAAATATCAAGGTCTATTTTCCCCAAACTCCACCAGTGTTCACATTTAGGAATATTATGCCAAATTTGGTCCAAATCCATCATTGTTTGAGCCTCTCTGGATGTAGGTGAACTACAACTCCCATACTCAAGGTCAACGCCCACCAAACTATAAATCCCAGCAACTACAACTCCCAAATATCAAGGTCTATTTTCCCCAAACTCCACCAGTGTTCACATTTAGGAATATTATGCCAAATTTGGTCCAAATCCATCATTGTTTGAGCCTCTCTGGATGTAGGTGAACTACAACTCCCATACTCAAGGTCAACGCCCACCAAACTATAAATCCCAGCAACTACAACTCCCAAATGACAAAACAACCCCCCCCCCCCCCCCCCCCCCCAAATCAGTATTGACATTTGGGCCTCTCGGGATGTAGACTTCCCTCCAGGCGGGAAAGGAAAGAAGGGGGCGGCGCCTGGGCCGGAAGGAGAATCCCTCTTCCCGGCATGCAGTGGGCGGCGCGGTGCATGCCGGGGCGTGTAGTCCGCTCGTGCTTCCCTCCGTGCTGGAGCCTCGTGTTCCCGGCATGCCTCGGGGCCCGGCGTCCGGGTGACGTCTAGGGCGGTGATTGGGCAATTGGGCGCCGGAGGGGGCGGGGCGTGCGCACGCGGCAGTGGCGGCGGCGGCGGCGGGGCAGCTGTTCTGTTGCGACAGAAGGAAGAGAAGGAGAGAAGGAGAGAAGAGAAGGAGAGGTAGGAAGGAAGGGACGGGGGCGAGTGGGTAGGCCTCAGGCCTGAGCGAGAGAGCGGAAGAGCCCTTCTCCTCCCTCCCTCCCTGACCCGCGATGCCGTCGGACCTGGCCAAGAAGAAGGCGGCCAAGAAGAAGGAGGCGGCCAAGGCTCGGCAGAGGCCCAAGCGAGGGAACGACGACGGTGACGAGCAGCAGGAGAACAACGCCACCGCCAACGGAGGGCAGGAACAGGACTCCGGGGGGCAGCCCACGCCCGAAGCAGCAGGTCAGCCAGGCACCACCACCACAACACCCCCACCGGAAGTCACCCCCAGGAGGAATGGGGAGGGGAGGGCTCTGACTCCCTTGACCCCTCAACCCCCCCCCCTTTTGTGACCCCTCCCCCCACTCCTCCAGGAGGCTGACCCTTGACCTCCATGTACTGACCCCCGGGGACTTATTGTCGTCTAGCCGCCCCTCGCCCCCCCCACAGACACGACACAATGCCACCACTTACCAAAGTCCCCCCAACTGCAAGGAGGAATTTGGGGAGGGGGAATATCTGACCGTGCCTTTTGACTTTACCCAGAGAAAAGTTCCACCCCCACCCCCGCTTTTGTGACCCCTCCTCCCCACTCCTCCAGGGAGGCTGACCCTTGACCTCCATGTACTGACCCCCCCTTTTGTCGTCTAGCCCCCTCCCCCCCCACACACACAATGCCACCCTGACCAAAAGTCACCCCCCCAGGAGGAATTGGGAGGGGGATCTCTGACTCCCTTGACCCCTCAACCCCCCCCTTTTGTGACCCCTCCTCCCCACTCCTCCAGGGAGGCTGACCCTTGACCTCCATGTACTGACCCCCCCTTTTGTCGTCTAGCCCCCTCCCCCCCCCACACACAATGCCACCCTGACCAAAAGTCACCCCCCCAGGAGGAATTGGGAGGGGGATCTCTGACTCCCTTGACCCCTCAACCCCCCCTTTTGTGACCCCTCCTCCCCACTCCTCCAGGGAGGCTGACCCTTGACCTCCATGTACTGACCCCCCCTTTTGTCGTCTAGCCCCCTCCCGCAGCAACCCCTCAATGCCACCCTGACCGGAAGTCACCCTCCAGGAAGGGAGGGGAGGGAGGGTCTGACCCCTGACCTCTATGTACTGCCCCCCCCCCTTTTGTGCCTACCCCAGGGAACATAGACGCCACCAGGAATCTCTCCATGCAATCCCAGGCCTCTTCATAGGGGCCCTCCTTCCCCCCCAAGCCACCCCCCCCCCCCCCACACACACACACACAGTGCTACCTTGACCAGAAGTCACCCTCCAGGAAGGGAGGAGAGGGAGGGTCTGACCCCTGATCCCTATGTATTGACCCCCCCCCCCCCAGGAAGCAGGAGGTCAGATAGGCCCTGCCACCACCAGAAAACACTCTCCAGAAGTTCCCTCCAGGAGGAATTGGGAGGAGGGCCTCTGACTCCCTTGTCTCCTCAAACCCCCCCCCCCCTTTGTGACCCCCACCCCCCACTCCTCCAGGGGATGTGGACACAAGCAGCAACTCCTCCACGCAATCCCAGACCTCTTCATAGGGGCCCTGCTTGCAATCCCAGGTCTCCCCCACAAAGTCACCCTCCAGGAGGAGAGGGGAGAGAGGGTCTGACCCTTGACCTCCATGTACTGACCCCCCCTTTTGTCGTCCCCCCCCCCCAGGGGACATGGAGGCCTCTTCATGGGGTCCCTGCTTGCAAACCTAGCTCCCCCCCCCCACACACACACAATGCCACCCTGACCGAAAGTCACCCTCCAGGAGGGGAGAGGAAGAGATGCCTGACCCCCACCAACTGACCCCCCACCCGAGAGGACGTGGATATGGCCAGCAATCCATCCATTCAGTCCCAGGCTGCTTTATGGGGTCCCTACTTGCAATCCTACAATACCACCCTGACTGGAAGTCAGACTCCAGGAGGGGAGGGGAAGGGGTTTATTTCCCCCACTTACTGACCCCTAACCCCCTTCTTTTGACCCCTCCCAGGAGATGTGGACGCGGCCAGCCGGGCTCTGGAGGCCTTTGAGCTGAAGAAGGCAGCAGCGCGGGCGGTGACGGGGGCCCTGGCCTCGCACCCCAACTCCACCGACGTGCACATCATCAGCCTGGCCCTCACCTTCCACGGGCAGGAGCTGCTCAGCGACACCAAGCTGGAGCTCAACTCCGGGCGCCGGTACGGACTCATCGGGCTCAACGGCACGGGTAAACGAGACCCTTCCCTGAACCCTGGACCCTTTACATGGGTGGGGGAGGGGGCCTGAGTCTGTGAGGAATGTTGGGAGATCAAGTCCAAAACACCAATTTGGCCCGTGCCTGATCTAGAGGGCCAGGCTTGAGCGCAGCAGGTGAATCAAGCAGCAATAGATCTTGCAATAGATCTTTGAACTCTCAACCTTCCAACCAGAAGGTTGAGAGTTCAAAGCCCAGGTCAGGGTGAGCTTTTGACCTTTAGCCCATCTTCTTACCTAGCAGTTTGAAAACAAATGCGAGTAGATAAATAGGAACCACATTAAAGTGGGAAGGTATTTAGGCTTGGCATTTCAATCAGAACAAAGAATGCTCTTTGGCAAGGAAATGGAGCGACAGCACCCCCGGTGGCTGGAAGCAAGCACAGCCTCCAAAGATGCCGAAATATTTACATCATCACTTATATCCCACCCATATCAGTTGTCTGTCTTGTCATTGTTATAATCAACAGTGAATGTTTGCTGTAGATGTGTTCTGTGATCCGTCCTGGGTCCCCTTCGGGGTGAGAACAGAATATAAATACTGTCGCGCCTCAGAGTAGATTCACCTTGCTGAAATCACCACACTGCACATGGACTGAAGCTTCTGTAGATTATTGAAAAGTAAAAGATAAAAAGTTCTGAAAAGCAAGTAATGCTCCAAGAGATCCATATAACATAGAACTATTAAGCATGATTCCAAGAGGCACCAACAACACAAAACCCCATGAGAACATGACAAAGTCCCGAGACCACGGACACAAGAACTACAAGATAATCCAGGCAAACGAGCCCAAGCTGCTTGGTTGAGCAAAAAGTTGCTCTGACAAAGGTTTGTTTTCAAACACCCTGCTTAATACCCTTTGCAAAGCATTTCAGTGGCCTCTGGCCTCCTTCTTGTTGGCTATTCTCACACTCCTTCGAACTCTGAATTCCAAACAGTCAGCCCAATCTAAGATTCCCGTTTCATCAAGGTCAGGCTACTGACCTCCTTCTTGTTGGCTATTCTCACACTCCTTCGAACTCTGAATTCCAAACAGTCAGCCCAATCTAAGATTCACATTTCACCAAGGTCAGGCTACTGACCTCCTTCTTGTTGGCTATTCTCACACTCCTTTGAACTCTGAATTCCAAACAGTCAGCCCGATCTAAGGTTCCCGTTTCATCAAGGTCAGGCTGCTTGTTAGTGTCAGCCTAGTTGCCTTCCTGCTTATTATCAGGCTGAGAACTATCCTCCTTTTCTGACTCCATTTGCACCTGGCTAGTTTCAGGATCAACAACATCATTCCCTGCTGTGGGAAACTGAACTTGCACACCCTGCTCCTCATTGTTGACAACAGGAACATTTTGAACCCGATTGTGAACCTGAATCCCATCATCCTCGTCAGAGTCACTCTGAGATCTCATCTGAGTCACAACACTATCAGTCTGTGGTTCCACCTGAGTCACAACAAATACTGTAAATTAATAAAATAATTGATTTCAAAGCAAGCAATTAGTGGGTTTTTAGCTTGTAATGTACTTACTAGGCATGTGCGACCCATGGTTCTAAAGTACTTACAAGACTAGGGGGAACTGGTGCTTTGATTCCAAAGCGTTACTAAAGCTGGTGCTTTGCTTCTAAAGTACCGTATATTCCAGCATATAAGACGACTGAGCATATACGACCACCCCCAACTTTTCCAGTTAAAATATAGAGTTAAGCTGACTCCCATGCATAAGACTACACCCGCGTATAAGATGACCCCTGACTTTTGAGAAGATTTCCTTGGGTTAAAAAGTAGTCTTATATGCCAGAATATACTGTATTTATAAAGTTCTGGTGGTGAAAATTTCAGAATGCTAGCAAAACTTTCAAAATTTTATTATTATTTCGTTAACAGCGATTTTTATGACAGAACCCGTTAGGAATTGTCATTTATAACAAAATTTTGAAAGTTTTGTTAGAGTTCTGAAATTTTCACCACCAGATCTTTAGAATCACTTTAGAAGCAAAGCACCAGCGCCCCCTAGTGTTGTAAGTACTTTAGAACCATGGATTGCACATGCTAGTTCTTACGCAAAGAGAACCAGAAGGGTTTCTGCCACGACGCTTGCGTTTCGTACATACGTTTCCCAGTCTGGGTTTGTGTCCAGAGGCCGGACGTTCCGCCTGGGAACCGTGCCTTTTCCTGCTCCGCCCGCAGGGAAATCCATGCTGCTCTCGGCCATTGGGAAGCGGGAGGTGCCCATCCCGGAGCACATCGACATCTACCACTTGACCCGGGAGATGCCCCCCAGCGAGAAGACGCCCCTGCAGTGCGTGATGGAGGTGGACACGGAGAGGGCCATGCTGGAGCGGGAGGCCGAGCGCCTGGCCCACGAAGATGGTGAGTCCCTCGCTCGGCAAATAGGGCTCCGCTCCCTTTGCCCCCCTCGGTTCCTAGCCCTGTCTGCACTTCCCCATGCCCGGCCCTTTGGATAGCCTGGTCGCCCCCATTTTGGGATCCCTGATTCTTGGATTCTGAGCATCGTTTGGATGGAGTCTGAATTCTAATGTTTTAGAGCAGGGGTCCTCAAACTAAGGCCCGGGGGCCGGATGTGGCCCTCCAAGGTCATTTACCTGGCCCTCGCTCAGGGTCAACCTAAGTCTGTAATGACTTGAAAGCCCACAACAACAACAACAACAATCCTATCTCATCAGCCAAAAGCAGGCCCACACTTCCCATTGGAATGCTAATAAATTTATATTTGTTAAAATTGTTCTTCATTTTAATTATTGTATTGTTTTTAAGTTTTGTTTTTTTTTTGCACTACCAATAAGATATGTGTAGTGTGCATAGGAATTAATTCATTTTTAAAAAATTATAATCTGGCCCTCCAACACTTTGAGAGACTGTGACCTGGCCCTCTGTTGAAAAAGTTTGAGGACCCCTGTTTTAGAGTTTCGTGTTTATTCAATTTTGTTTTAACTGAACAAATTGTCTATCTGAACATGTTTTTATGTCAGTTGTGTTTTTTGTTTTGATTGGTTGCTTGTTTTATTGTCTTATGGACATTTGGTCCCATCTAAGCTGCCCTGAGTCCCTTCGGTCAGATGGTGGCAGGGTATTCTTTTATTTATTTATTTCTGATATTTACATCCTGTCTCTTCTCTACCCTGAAAGGGGGACTTAGGACGGCTTACTTAGGCAGCAATTTGATGCCGTTACATGAACAATTAATACAATAACCATTAAACAAAGCATCAAACCATTAAAATACATAAGCCATTAATTAAACAATATAAAAACATTTGTTACCAAATAGTATAATGTGATCATGTGATTATAATTAGTGTTACTGTTTATAATCTGCTATGTATTATGGTTTTACATTGTTGTTATTGATATTGTGGCATCGAATTGTGTTAGCTGCCCCGAGTCCCCCCTCGGGGGTGAGAAGGGCGGGGTAGAAATGGTGTAAATAAATAAGTAAATAATACAAGAATAATGTTATTATGGTGACTGTTTGGGCTGGGCTGGGCTGGGAAGGGGCAGGGGACGGTCCTCTTGCAAACGCAGGACGCCAAGGGAAAGGGGAGCCTCCTGCCGCTGACTTCCTTCCTTCCTCCCCTCCCCTCCCTCCCTCCCTCCTCAAAGCCGAGTGTGAGAAGCTTCTGGAGCTGTACGAGCGGCTGGAAGAGCTGGACGCGGACAAGGCGGAGATGCGGGCCTCGCGGATCCTGCACGGCCTGGGCTTCTCCCCCCTCATGCAGCGCAAGAAGCTCAAGGACTTCAGCGGGGGCTGGCGCATGCGGGTGGCCCTGGCCAGGTGGGTCCGGGGCGGAGCAGGCATGGGGTGGGGGCTCCTACCTGGCTCTAGGCTCCGCCCCTGACCCCGGCCCTCCTTCTCCTCAGGGCCCTCTTCATCCGGCCCTTCATGCTGCTCCTGGACGAGCCCACCAACCACCTGGACCTGGACGCCTGCGTCTGGTTGGAGGAGGAGCTCAAGACGTGAGTGCGGGGAGGGGCCATTGTGGGGGAGAGGCTCTCCTCAGGGCCCCCCACCACCACCTGCCGCTCACTGCCCCCCTCTTTACCCGTGCAGGTTCAAGCGCATCCTGGTGCTCATCTCCCACTCCCAGGACTTCCTCAACGGCGTCTGCACCAACATCATCCACATGCACAACCGCAAGCTCAAGTACTACACGGTGAGGCCCTCCCCCTCCCCTCCCCTCAAATGTTGATTTTTGAATGCCTGCCTCTTGGAAATATTAAAAAGTAACTAGGTACATCTGATTACAAAAATGTGAGTCAAGCACTCAAAGAGTAGGCCGAAGCCTGTTAGAGTCGGTGAGCGAAAGCTAGTGTCGTCCTGAGGAGAGTGAGGTAAACCTCTGTGGGAGAGAAGCTTCAGCGAAAGAAGCCCCAGGTTAAAGGCCTCGTGTGTAACGCTATGATGTGAAGCTTCTGTGTAATTTTGGTGTGAGAGGAGGCTCTGTCAGAGTCAAACTCTGTTAGTGGGCCAAAGCTAGCATCATCCTGAGGAGAGTGAGGTAAACCTCAGTGTGAGAGAAGTTTCAGCAAAAGAAGCCCCAGGTTAAAGGCTTCATGTGTAAAGCTACGATGTGAAGCTTCTGTGTAATTTTGGTGTGAGAGGAGCCTCTGTCAGAGTCAAACCCTGTTAGAGTCAGTGGGCCAATACTAGTATCTTCCTAAGGGGAGTAAGGTAAACCTCTGTGTGAGAGAAGCTCCAGCGAAAGAAGCCCCAGGTTAAAGGCCTCGTGCGTAAAGCTACAGTGTGAAGGTTCTGTGTAATTTTAGTACGAGAGGAGGCTCTGTGAGAGTCAAACCCTGTTAGAGTCAGTGGGCCAAAGCTAGTGTCATCCTGAGGAGAGTGAGGTAAACCTCAGTGTGAGAGAAGCTTCAGCAAAAGAAGCCCCAGGTTAAAGGCTTCATGTGTAAAGCTACGATGTGAAGCTTCTGTGTAATTTTGGTGTGAGAGGAGCCTCTGTCAGAGTCAAACCCTGTTAGAGTCAGTGGGCCAATACTAGTATCCTCCTAAGGGGAGTAAGGTAAACCTCTGTGTGAGAGAAGCTCCAGCGAAAGAAGCCCCAGGTTAAAGGCCTCGTGCGTAAAGCTACAGTGTGAAGGTTCTGTGTAATTTTAGTATGAGAGGAGGCTCTGTGAGAGTCAAACCCTGTTAGAGTCAGTGGGCCAAAGCTAGTGTCGTCCTGAGGAGAGTGAGGTAAACCTCTGGGTGAGAGAAGCTTAATTGAAAGAAGCCCCAGGCTAAAGGCATTTTGTGTAAAGCTATGATGCGAAGCTTCTGTGTAATTTCGGTGTGAGTGGGGCCTCTGTGAGAGTGAAGCATGAGGAAGAAGCCCAGCATAAAAGCAAAGACTTTATTTGTGTCGTGGAAACCTTGTTCTTGTAAATAGTGCAAATATATTAATTTACATCAAAGAAAAGTCTCCAAAAGGAGAGAGAACGTTGGTCTGTGCGTTTGTGTTCTTTTGGTCACTTTGGGCCCCTTGTGCTGGGTCACGCTGCTGCTAAGAAGTCCACTGAAGCTTCTCTCACACAGAGGTTTACCTCACTGTGCTTTTATGGGGAGGGTCTTTAGTTATGAAGCCCACTGGCCCAACCCTGCCTTCCTTCCTTGCGTCCGTCTGTCCTGCAGGGCAACTACGACCAGTACGTCAAGACCCGGCTGGAGCTGGAGGAGAACCAGATGAAGCGCTTCCACTGGGAGCAGGACCAGATCGCCCACATGAAGGTGCCCCTCCCCTTCTCCTTCCTGGGTGGGGGCGGGGGGCTGTCTCTCCTTTCCCTGGCACTCCTGCCCTGCTGACCCCTCCCCTTGCTTCCACTGCAGAACTACATTGCCCGCTTTGGCCACGGAAGTGCCAAGCTGGCCCGCCAGGCCCAGAGCAAAGAGAAGACCCTCCAGAAGATGATGGCCTCAGGGCTGACCGAGAGGGTCATTACGGACAAGGTCAGGCCCTGTGCGAGGAGGGGGGGTTCCCTTGTGGGGTGGGGATTGCAGGGTCAGCGTTCTCAGCCAGAGCCTGACCAGACCCTTCTCTTCCTCCCCCCACAGACCCTCTCCTTCTGCTTCCCGGCCTGCGGCAAGATCCCTCCCCCGGTCATCATGGTGCAGAACGTGAGCTTCAAATACTCCAAAGACGGGGTGAGCGGAAGGGCGGGAACCGGCGTGGGGGGGGGGGCCGCTGGGTGAGGGCCAGGCTCACGTACTTACCGCCTTCGTTCTTTTTGGGGGGCTAAGCCTTGGATTTACAACAACTTGGAGTTTGGGATCGACCTGGACACGCGGGTGGCCTTGGTGGGGCCCAACGGCGCAGGGAAGTCCACGCTCTTGAAGCTCCTCACGGGAGAGGTATGTCCTTGTGTGTGTGTGTGTGTGTGTGTGTGTGTGTGTGTGTGTCCCAAATCCTGGTCTGGGAGAGCAAAGGGACAGCTCTTGACCAGTCTGCCTCTTCCCTTCCCAGCTCCTGCCCACAGATGGCATGATCCGCAAGCACTCACACGTCAAGATCGGCAGGTACCACCAGGTACGTGGCGTCACAGGGATGTGTCATGCAGGCGGGCCAGTTGGTTCTGCTGAAACAGGGCCCAGACCTCCGTTTGCAGACTCCTCCTCGCTTGCTCTGCCCAACAGCACTTGCAAGAGCAGCTGGACCTGGACCTCTCCCCTCTGGAGTACATGATGAAGTGCTACCCGGAGATCAAGGAGAAGGAGGAGATGAGGAAGGTCATCGGCCGCTACGGACTCACCGGGAAGCAGCAGGTGGGGAGAGAGGGAGGGGAAATGGGGGGAGGGAGGGGGGTGTTCCTGGCACTTCTCCTTCCTGTTGGGGAATCTGAGCTCTTAGGGTCAAAGATAGTCCTCAGTTGGGGTGATTCCACCATAAATACGGCAAAGTCCCAGGAGTAAACTTCATAACCAGCAGAAACATACCTGTGATGAGCTGGGATAGGCTTCTGTTCCTTAGGATGGATCAGGACTGCAGGTCAGAACTTTGAGTTCTAATAATAATAATAATAATAATAATAATAATAATAACTGATTTATTATTATTATTAATAATAATTATTATTATATCATAATTGCTGGGGAAAGTGGAAGGGAAAAGGAAAAGGGGCCGACCAAAGGAAAGATGGATGAATGGCATCCGTGACGTGACTAGATTGACCTTGAAGGAGCGGGGGGGGGGGGGGGGGGGGGGGGGGGGGGGGGGGGGGTGACGGCCGACAGGGAGCTCTGACCTGGGTTGGTCCATGAGATCACAAAGAGTCTGAAGCGACTGAACAAATGAACAACATCAACAAATATCATAATTAATATTATAATTATAATAAATAACGTTTATAATTATTAATATTATTAATATATATTAATATTATAAAATATAATAATAATGTCATATTAATTTATTATTAACAATAATTATGACATTATATATTAATATAATTACCATAAATAATATTTATAATTATTAATATTATATATTAATATTATAAAATAATATAATTATATATGATCCTGACCTCACGATCGTGTTAAAAAACAAAGTATGGATCGTGGATGCTGCAATCCCAGGTGACAGCAGGATTGAAGAGAAACAACTGGAAAAGATGACACGACATGAGGATTTAAAGATCGAACTGCAAAGACTCTGGCACAAGCCAGTCAAGGTGGTCCCAGTGGTGATTGGCACACTGGGTACAGTGCCTCAAGACCTTGGACTGCACTTAAAAACAGTCTGCGCTGACAAAGTTGCTACCTATCAGCTGCAGAAGGTCAGCCTACTTAGAACTGCACACATTATTTGCCAATATATCACAGAGCCCTAGACACTTGGGTGGGTCTGGCGTGTGATCCAATTCAACAGCCACCAGAGTGTCTGCTGTGGACTCATCTTGTGGTGTTTCCAATAATAATAATAATAATAATTTCCTACAAAATCCGGCATGTATATCTCATTTGCTGTGACATACTGTGTTTTTGTGTCATTAAAATAATAATAGTAGTGGTAGTAGTAGTAGTAATAATAATAATAATAATAATAATAATAATAATAATGGAAGTGTCCGACATGTGATCCAATACAACAGCCACCAGAGTGTCTGCTGTGGACTCATCTTGTTGTGTTTCCAATAATAATAATAATAATAATAATAATAATTCCTACAAAATCCAGCATGTATATCTCGTTTGCTGTGACATACTGTGTTTTTGTGTCATTAAAATAATAATAGTAGTAGTAGTAGTAGTAATAATAATAATAATAATAATAATAATAATAATGGAAGTGTCCGACATGTGATCCAATACAACAGCCACCAGAGTGTCTGCTGTGGACTCATCTTGTTGTGTTTCCAATAATAATAATAATAATAATAATAATAATAATAATTTCCTACAAAATCCGGCATGTATATCTCGTTTGCTGTGACATACTGTGTTTTTGTGTCATTAAAATAATAATAGTAGTGGTAGTAGTAGTAGTAATAATAATAATAATAATAATAATAATAATAATAATGGAAGTGTCCAACATGTGATCCAATACAACAGCCACCAGAGTGTCTGCTGTGGACTCATCTTGTTGTGTTTCCAATAATAATAATAATAATAATAATAATAATAATTTCCTACAAAATCCAGCATGTATATCTCGTTTGCTGTGACATACTGTGTTTTTGTGTCATTAAAATAATAATAGTAGTGGTAGTAGTAGTAGTAATAATAATAATAATAATAATAATAATAATAATAATTTCCTACAAAATCCGGCATGTATATCTCGTTTGCTGTGACATACTGTGTTTTTGTGTCATTAAAATAATAATAGTAGTAGTAGTAGTAGTAATAATAATAATAATAATAATAATAATAATAATAATGGAAGTGTCCGACATGTGATCCAATACAACAGCCACCAGAGTGTCTGCTGTGGACTCATCTTGTTGTGTTTCCAATAATAATAATAATAATAATAATAATAATAATTTCCTACAAAATCCGGCATGTATATCTCGTTTGCTGTGACATACTGTGTTTTTGTGTCATTAAAATAATAATAGTAGTGGTAGTAGTAGTAGTAATAATAATAATAATAATAATAATAATAATAATAATGGAAGTGTCCGACATGTGATCCAATACAACAGCCACCAGAGTGTCTGCTGTGGACTCATCTTGTTGTGTTTCCAATAATAATAATAATAATAATAATAATAATAATAATAATTTCCTACAAAATCCAGCATGTATATCTCGTTTGCTGTGACATACTGTGTTTTTGTGTCATTAAAATAATAATAGTAGTGGTAGTAGTAGTAGTAATAATAATAATAATAATAATAATAATAATGGAAGTGTCCGACATGTGATCCAATACAACAGCCACCAGAGTGTCTGCTGTGGACTCATCTTGTTGTGTTTCCAATAATAATAATAATAATAATAATAATAATAATTTCCTACAAAATCCGGCATGTATATCTCGTTTGCTGTGACATACTGTGTTTTTGTGTCATTAAAATAATAATAGTAGTGGTAGTAGTAGTAATAATAATAATAATAATAATAATAATAATAATAATGGAAGTGTCCGACATGTGATCCAATACAACAGCCACCAGAGTGTCTGCTGTGGACTCATCTTGTTGTGTTTCCAATAATAATAATAATAATAATAATAATAATAATTTCCTACAAAATCCAGCATGTATATCTCGTTTGCTGTGACATACTGTGTTTTTGTGTCATTAAAATAATAATAGTAGTGGTAGTAGTAGTAGTAATAATAATAATAATAATAATAATAATAATAATAATAATTTCCTACAAAATCCGGCATGTATATCTCATTTGCTGTGACATACTGTGTTTTTGTGTCATTAAAATAATAATAGTAGTGGTAGTAGTAGTAGTAATAATAATAATAATAATAATAATAATAATGGAAGTGTCCGACATGTGATCCAATACAACAGCCACCAGAGTGTCTGCTGTGGACTCATCTTGTTGTGTTTCCAATAATAATAATAATAATAATAATAATAATAATAATTTCCTACAAAATCCGGCATGTATATCTCGTTTGCTGTGACATACTGTGTTTTTGTGTCATTAAAATAATAATAGTAGTGGTAGTAGTAGTAGTAATAATAATAATAATAATAATAATAATAATAATAATGGAAGTGTCCGACATGTGATCCAATACAACAGCCACCAGAGTGTCTGCTGTGGACTCATCTTGTTGTGTTTCCAATAATAATAATAATATAATAATAATAATTTCCTACAAAATCCAGCATGTATATCTCGTTTGCTGTGACATACTGTGTTTTTGTGTCATTAAAATAATAATAGTAGTAGTAGTAGTAGTAATAATAATAATAATAATAATAATAATAATAATAATGGAAGTGTCCGACATGTGATCCAATACAACAGCCACCAGAGTGTCTGCTGTGGACTCATCTTGTTGTGTTTCCAATAATAATAATAATAATAATAATAATAATAATAATAATAATTTCCTACAAAATCCGGCATGTATATCTCGTTTGCTGTGACATACTGTGTTTTTGTGTCATTAAAATAATAATAGTAGTAGTAGTAGTAGTAATAATAATAATAATAATAATAATAATGGAAGTGTCCGACATGTGATCCAATACAACAGCCACCAGAGTGTCTGCTGTGGACTCATCTTGTTGTGTTTCCAATAATAATAATAATAATAATAATAATAATAATTTCCTACAAAATCCAGCATGTATATCTCGTTTGCTGTGACATACTGTGTTTTTGTGTCATTAAAATAATAATAGTAGTAGTAGTAGTAATAATAATAATAATAATAATAATAATAATAATAATAATGGAAGTGTCCGACATGTGATCCAATACAACAGCCACCAGAGTGTCTGCTGTGGACTCATCTTGTTGTGTTTCCAATAATAATAATAATAATAATAATAATAATAATTTCCTACAAAATCCAGCATGTATATCTCGTTTGCTGTGACATACTGTGTTTTTGTGTCATTAAAATAATAATAGTAGTGGTAGTAGTAGTAGTAATAATAATAATAATAATAATAATAATAATTTCCTACAAAATCCGGCATGTATATCTCATTTGCTGTGACATACTGTGTTTTTGTGTCATTAAAATAATAATAGTAGTGGTAGTAGTAGTAGTAATAATAATAATAATAATAATAATAATAATAATGGAAGTGTCCGACATGTGATCCAATACAACAGCCACCAGAGTGTCTGCTGTGGACTCATCTTGTTGTGTTTCCAATAATAATAATAATAATAATAATAATAATAATAATAATTTCCTACAAAATCCGGCATGTATATCTCGTTTGCTGTGACATACTGTGTTTTTGTGTCATTAAAATAATAATAGTAGTAGTAGTAGTAGTAATAATAATAATAATAATAATAATAATAATGGAAGTGTCCGACATGTGATCCAATACAACAGCCACCAGAGTGTCTGCTGTGGACTCATCTTGTTGTGTTTCCAATAATAATAATAATAATAATAATAATAATAATTTCCTACAAAATCCGGCATGTATATCTCGTTTGCTGTGACATACTGTGTTTTTGTGTCATTAAAATAATAATAGTAGTAGTAGTAGTAGTAATAATAATAATAATAATAATAATAATAATGGAAGTGTCCGACATGTGATCCAATACAACAGCCACCAGAGTGTCTGCTGTGGACTCATCTTGTTGTGTTTCCA